TTAATTAATTAATTAGAGATAGGATCTCACTCAGTTACCCCAGGCTGGAGTGCTAATGGTAGGATCATTGCAGCCTTGCTTAAATTCCTGGGCTCAAATGATCCTCCCGCCTCAGCCTCCAGAGTAGCTAGGACTACAGGCAGTAGCCACCACACTGGCCAGAGCTAAGCATTTTTTTTAAAATAAAGGAGGCTCATTTATTGTGTACCAAAGAGAAAGGAAAACAATGGTCCTAATTACTTATCCCTTTATTTCCTCATCCCTAAGGACAATGTAAGAACTCTCTTGGATCCAGGTGTATTTTTCTTTTAGATGTGGTTATTGTGACTGTGATATTAATCATGGACCTCTGTTAAGCCGTGAAGGTTACCATCTTTCCTGTTGTAGGGAGAGCTGAAAGACCAAGTTGAATTTCTGGTTTCTGCCTTACACCTAATGCCAACCATAATAGCTCATCACTCAGGCTCAGACCTTTATGGGATTCCTCCTGTCCCCATTCATCAGAGCAGAACCTCCTTCTCTTGGGTCTGTCTTCAGAGAGGCTTTTCTTTCATGCCTTTGTCCTCCTAAGACCCAGGGATATTATTTTTTCTGATTTAGGGAGACAAGGATAACAAATCAGAACATTCTCTAAGTGAGGCTCTTTGAGCCACAGAAAAATATTTTTTTATTTATGATACACCTTCAAATAACTATGCAACTTCTGAATACTGGCCTTTGATACCATACCCAGCCAGAGTAAAAGCATCAGCAGAGATAGGTTACCAGATATTTTACCGCGTCCCAGACTTAATGTTAGGTAAGCACAGACACACTTTTTCTTTTGAGAGAGAGGCTTGCTCTTTTGCCCAGGGCTTGAGTGCCATGGCTTCAGCCTAGCTCACAGCAACCTCAAACTCCTGGGCTCAAGCGATCCTCCTGCCTCAGCCTCCTGAGTAGCTGGAACTACAGGTGTGCACCGTGATGCCCGGCTGATTTTTCTATTTTTAGTAGAGACGGGGTCTTGCTCTTGCTCAGGCTGGTCTCGAACTCCTGAGCTCAAGCAATCCTCCCGCTTCAGCCTCCCAGAGTGCTAGGATTACAGGTGTGAGCAGACACACTTTTTAAGAATTATCTTCTACACAGTAGAATCAAGCAGTTAAGCAGCATACCACATATGCATCCTCGTTTAGTTGTATAACCACATTTAAAAAGAAAATACAATTTTTTAAAAGCCACGTATATGAGCTTTGGAAATGCTCTTTTAATATTCTTTTGAAGGCCCCGTGGAAGAAATATACTCTCAGTAGCTACTTCTATAAAATTAGGGGAAAAAATTGATACATAGTTTCAAGATGAGCTTCCAAGAAAAGAATAAGTTTCCTTGCTAGCTTCTAGATCCTTGCAATCCTCTGAGGAGGCTGGGTTGAACTGGCCTTCTCACAGCTGCCTGGCTACAAGGACTTAGTAAGTATTAATACCTAAAAGCACAAAGCTATGTGCATGGCTCACCCTAAGTTGTTTGTTTTATTAAGAAGCATTTTCACAAGTGGCTCCAAGGCAGCTGCCAGAACTTGGCCAATCTAGTATAGTGATTGTGATGAGGCTACATCAAAATGTCAGACTTTTTTCTTTTTATTTACGAGGTACACAATAAGCACTACTATTGTCCTATCCTCAGTTGGGATAGTGGTCAAGGTGACACATTATTTACATTATTTGGAGGGAAAAAATGCTAAAGTTTAATGGCTGACTTTTAGATTTCGTGAAAATATTCCCATATTAAAAGGACCAAGTTGAAACAACTATATCAGAATCCCCGTGGTCCCAAAGTAACTGTCAAAATGTCTGTGTCATATCCAATATCAAATATGATTGAGCAGAGACTGTATCTATGTTCCTTCCTCTGTTTAAGCGCTTACTTAGGTCTGGACAAGTGCTGTTTAGGGAAAGAAGGTAGCTAAGTACTGGGCTTGAGGCTGGTGCTTCTATGTGCTAATGGAAAATTTTGAAATTCAAGGGATGGGGTGGGAAGAGGAAAACCATTTGTATAGAGAAGGAGGGTTTTGTTCAGTTCTACTTCATACATGATGGCTCTTGTAGGAGCTTACTTATTCTACCAGTAAACACTCCCACAAAACACCATTTCTTCATCTGTCCAAAAGTCTTCATGATCACAGACCACATTCCCACTTCTCTCCATGAGTACTTTGTTGAAGAAAATGGGATTCAGGAATGTGACTTTCTTAACACCATCTTTGTTTAACTTGTGGTTTGAGTAATTTTATGGATATTTCTGAGTTTAGTTTATGTATTTGACTTAAGGAAGTAGCTGTTTAATTTATAGTTAGCAGCTAGATCATTGTTTTATAAGATGACACACAGATTTTGGCTGGATACATATAGAAAGTATTTTCACAGTGTGTAAGCACATTCATGCAAGGGTCTGTCTTCTTAATTTAATAACTGGTCACTAGCAAACCAGTTTTCAGAAATGCTGATTCCTGTGGGGTCAGAGAGTTTGTTACAGGTAGTCTGCATCTTCCTTAGGCAATGTGTCTATCACCAGATCAGGAGATAACAACAGCACCAAAAACTGGCTGGCCAATCATTAAGAATATGTTTGAGACATCAGGGATACAACAGTTAATATACAACTACTGCCCTCAACAAGCTTACTAGATAAGCTCAAAGCTAGTGATTTCTTAACTGTATCGTGTTTCTGTACAGTGCTTTTAATGCTGGTGGACTTTACCTCTGTGATCTCATTTTCTTGTCCCAACAATTTTTAGGCAGGTTGGAATGGTGATTTTCCTGTGTCATGGATGATTAAACTGAGGCCCAAAGAGTCCAAGTTAGTTTCCACAGTCTTTACAGCTAGATAGCTGTGGGTTTGAAAAGAACCCACGAACCCAGAACCCTCTGGGCCTTGCCAGATCTGCCTCCCGTCTTTCTAGTACCCCCTGCTGCCTATTTGTAATAAGG